ATTTTTGCATTTTCACAAAGGGCGTTTTCATAAAATTGAGTCTTTCTTCAAACTGGGAGAAAGATTGGACTATTTACACTCCGATCTCCTTCTCTACTTCACAAGTCCCTTCAGCTTCGTCTCTGTGTCAGTGAAACTGCTCGAAATGAGAACGATGTTGTCCGCAAAACGTAAGTGCAAAAGGAATTTCTTGATAACTCGTATGCGTCTCACATCCCAGTTCAGTGTCTTCATTACCCATCGCAAAACCGCGGTAAACGGCTCTAGCGAAATTGTGCTGCACTGAATCCCCTTCCTGACTGGGATGGTCAGGGGAGAGTAGAATAGCTGCATCGTCGTAATACAGTCCCTGTAGCATTCAAAAAATGTCCTCACATAAGCTTGGCACTTTCCTTGATCGACTAGGGCTGACATGATGGCTGGATATAACCAGGGTTGAGCGTGGGGTCAGGTGCGCCCAACCTGTGGGTCGTATTGAGGGTAAGACTGAGGAAGGGGGTCGTAATTAAGAATCGAATTTGTTCAGTTGGGGAGGTACTACGAAGGTAAAGAAGAAATGCGCTAGTTCGGTGGATCGCAATCACCTAAAGGAATGACGGTCGTTAACAGCATACTGTTCCCACAATCAAAGTTAGCAAAAAATTTAATCTCAATATCTTACCTTGACAGATCATGAGGTCGACAAGGAAGCTTGCTGTGTGAAATGCTGAATCCTTTCCGAATCAGCATGTCAAATCACCTCTATGCGCTCTACAAACCATTGCCTCTGCATTTTCTAGTATTAGGTTGCTGCATAAGTTCTGTGCGATTTTTTCTGCCTTATGTTTGGAGCAGCTGTTCTGAGAGGATTTCATCTCCAATGTGGTATTGTTAGTAATATTAGAGAGTGCTTTTCTTGCGCTTTTTAGGGCATATCAAATTTCAATAAATTTCTCAGTGTAAGGAGATTTCAGGCCTAAAATCTCCAAGTGACAGAGGTACGTTCTCACCCTAGAAATATGTTCTTGCGAAGAAATCTCCACAATGCTTCCTTTAGGTCAAGTTTTTCAATTGGTTGCGGAATAAGGGTGGAATAGGCTAGCACAAGCATAAGTTCAGTTTCATTGAAAACGTCTTGCTAGTAAAATTTATTGTCAAACAATAATTTTCTGTATAGATGTTTTACAAGCTATAACTTTCTGCGAATAGAAGTAATCGACGACTTCAAAGTTGGAGGTGCTAGTGTAAAGCAAGGGCTAGCAGAAACCATCCACCAATTTCTTTTCGGCGCTCACGTCAATTGTAAAATTTTCATAATTCGTAAATAGGCAGGCACACATGCACTGAGGCGAGGTCAAAAAATGGCTTCTTTTTGCTCGGTCAAAGAAATCTCTCGGCAACGCAGACCCTATGGGCTCTCTTATGTCGCAAAATAATCTACGAAAATTTCTATATCCAACCATTGTTGGACAAGATGCCTATCAATTCTCATAAGGGAGCATTGTCATGTCAATGCAGACAAGTTTGGAGAAAAACGCTGCGAAGTTTTTTGATTCTTGCTCTTCCTTGACAAGGATTTTCGCAGGTTTCAATAAGTTTCTGATAGCCAAGGAATTGTTCGACACAAAGAAACTAAGATCTTGGGAAAAAGTTGACTTTGAAGAGAGTTATGACATTTTGAACTCAAAAAATTTAAATCGGACAGAACTTATGCAGCAACCTAATATTTCTCAACGTCCAAGAAACGTGATTTTCAAACATGATTAACTTGGTTTCAAAAGTAAAAAATGAAAGCTTTTCTATACTCACAACAAAGTAATGTTCACTACAAGTCTATGCTCCAAATCAGGCTTCATATCGCTTTCAAATAATGAAGTAAGAAGTGCTGCCAAAATTCCAACCGGCACGTTTTTCACATTGAGTGCTTCAACTCCTCAGATTAGCACAAGGCCGAAACAAGTCGACTCAAGCTCAAACACTCACCGTTGAATCTTCGAGGGTTGAGCTAGCGAAACACATAAAACTTGGGTAGAAAAGCTTTTCCGGAAATAAACAGGTCAGGCCGCCTGAGCTTTTGAGGGGTTGCGGGCTGACCCCATCAACTTGCCTTCAATCTTCAAAAATCGCCCCTTTTTAGTAGTATAGTGAGTATTGAGCGCAAAGCCTCTTATTGCTATGTAGAAAATTTGAAGCAAAACACGCCATCTCTGCGAAAATTATGGCTCTGAAAAGAGGGCCATCAAGATCCAAAACTTGCCGTCAAGTTGCGTATAGTTGTGCAATCGCAGAAAGCCGGGCCTACAGACTTTGAAGAAATAAAAACCTGCATTGAAAGCTGGTCTTCTTCAAAAGATAACACCCTGAGGACGTGGAGGTGAAGAGGAGGGGTCGTTTAGGGCTTTCACAGGGGGGGGGGGTCGTTTTTGAAGGACTTGTGCCTGACCTCGTGCTCAACCCTGCTTATAACCTTTTAACGGCTTTTCCGGAACATTTGTTTATTCATTTCCAGTGAAAGATAGCAAAAGTGTGAAAGATTGGATAGAGAATGTGAAGTCCGCAGTTCTAAAGCATCATAAGATGACGCTTTTCTTTCAGCCCCTCCCTCGCAGTGGTTTTATGCACATTCTAAGATTGACTCGGATTCCATCTTTGTGATGCTTTGATTTTTGCTCTTCACGTAGTACCAAATTTTTTTTGAAGTTTTTTTTCGAAGAGATCCGATATCATGATTGTTAGAAGTGTAATCGTACACCGTTTTTTATTCCTAACAAACGAAGAGGAAGCGCATAAGAATTCCTTTTTTGTGCCTGGAGCTTACACTATCTATCCGCTCAGCTCACTTTGAGTATTTGGCTGTTAACATATACATGGTAGAAAAGCTTCAAGAGGAGGAGAAACCAAAGAAAATGCGATTGTCGAAAGCGCGTACGCGACGCGCGGCCGCAGCCATTGTCACGATTTTATGAATGACGCTTCTTTGTCCACTATAGGCACAGGAAATTTTTCAACATTTGTTGATATACAGTGACCGCCAAAAAGTTGCGGACAAACCGCCTTCCTTTTTTCATCTCTCATTTTCGGATAGAAAACGAAGATGAAGAAATGATTGGATTGCATGTGGTGATAGAGCTCACCAAGAGCTACAATCCATACATTACGCTTTCTGGAAAACATGTATTATAAAAGTTTTAAAAATCTTTTCCTAAAAAAAGTCCGAAAATGACCGCGTCACAATGTCGCGGACAATAATTCTTCGAACGCGAAAATTTTGCTTTAGGTCTTAGTTTTGAGCAACAACAGAACTTTTCCGGACAAGTAAGCATACTATGTCATAGAGCTCATCGAAGACAATAATCGGGTAATGATTCCTTCCAAAAAAACCCAAACTTGAATTTGTTTTGCTTTTTTTTCAAGAAACAATTTTTAATTCCCTTCTTCAAGCCAAATTTCCCTAACATGGAAACCTATTGAAGGCATTCCAACGAGGCTATCTGGATAAAATGGATAATGGCTCTTGACAGTGCGTGCACATGACCCCACCTGCACCTCACCGCTGACTTGCACCGCTTTGCAGGCTTGTATGTCGGAAGCCTGCAAGTGGGCTCATTCGAAAGAGAGTGACTTCCTGGACACGACGTATGCAAAAGAGTTGGGTATGTGAAACAGCAGAGATTTGGCGGATGGGGTGACAAAGCGCAGCCTTAGAGGAAAATGGAGTGAAGGGTCTTATCAACCTAGAACGGTCTAGAGCTTCGAAATGGGACTATTACAAGAAAACTGCAAAAGATTTGGGTATGCGAAACAGTTAGTTTGAAAGTTTTGAACTTCCAGGATGGAACTGGTAGCGAATGAAGCTTTGCTTAACATTAGCAGAAAAATCCTTAGCTTACCAATGATGCTGCGCTTTTTCGCCCCATCCGCCAAATCTCTGCTGTTTCACATACCCAAATGTTTTGCATACCATCGTGTCTAGAAAGTCACTCTCTTTCGAATGAGCTTACTTGCAGGCTCGTGGAATGAGTGCCGGCCGAGATACAAGCCTGCAAAGCGGTGCAAGTCAGCGGTGAGGTGCAGGTGGGGTCATGTGCACGCACTGTCAAGAGCCATTTCCAGCAAAGAAACACACCTGCACACGTCCGATGCATAGAGAATGGCAAAGAGCATCCATTTTATCCGAATAGCCTTGTTCAAATGCCTTGAATAGGTTTCCATGTTAGGGAAATTTGGCTCGAAGAAGGGGATTAAAAATTATTTTTTGAAAAAAGCAAAACAAATTCAAGGTTGGGTTTTCTTGGAAGAAACCATTACCCGATTATTGCCCTCGATGAGCTCTACGATATAGTAAGCTTACCTGTCCGAAAAACTTCTGTTTTTGCTCCAAGAAAAGACTCAAAAGCAATTTTTCGCGCTCGAAGAATTATTGTCCGCGACATTGTGACGCGGCCATTTCCGGACTTTTTTAGGAAAAGATTTTCAAAACTTTCATAATACTAGTGAACCAGTAATCAAAGGTGCTAGACTGATCCGCGCGCTTCGGGACCGCACGGCGGTTTCCCGCTATGTGATGTTTTTAAAAAAGGCACCACGATTCTTTATATATTAGATACATGTTTTCCAGAAAGCGCAATGTGTGGGTTGTAGCTCTTGAAGAGCTCTATCACCTCATGCAATTCGATCATTTTTTCATCTTCGTTTTCCATCCGAAAATAAGCGATGGAAAAAGGAAGGCGGCTTGTCCCCAACTTTTTGGCGGTCACTATATGACAAATTTTTGTAAAGAAGGATAAAATTGTAGGTCTTCAACATTTTGTACCCTTGTAGCAGATAATACACCGCCTGTTAGTCAATATTTATCAGTAAGACACTGCTAGTGAGCCACAATCTGGGTCGGCCATCGGGGTCTCACAGACCCTTAAAACGTGAGTAGGACTGAGAGGATTTGGTTGATAAAAAAAAAACTGAAGAATATGCTCAAAACACATATGAGATGAACATTTAAGAATTTATTTCAATAAATCCGTCACATTATTAATGAAACCTTTTGAACAACGCTAATATCCGTCACTGATATGTTAGGTCGTACAGAGGCCTTTTTAAAAGCACAAAATCACAGTGAGGGGCACTCAGTGGCCTTAAGTGAGAAAATGTTATCACCATTCAATTTCTATTAATTCTTGTCCGTGATAGTGAGGGCTATGTGCTCCTTGGAAACCTCCAACCTCTACTACATGTCCGCCATGGGCTTCTTCATGTTCATGTTCTCCTCCCAAGATATGAGGTGAGAAAACCTATGTTTAGTAATTTATAAGCAAAGTGTAATTAGTATAGTGAAGTCACCTCAACCACAAGCCTTTCCTGGCTGAGAACACGAGGCGACAATACCGAAGGACTCAGAACGAAAACTTGCAGTGCTCCTGGTGACAGAACGGCGGGCGCAATCAATGCTAAACAAGAAATCTCGTACTCATTTTGTACATAATTTACAAGGATTACCTGGACTCAATACTTCTACAACAAAGGCATCCGGACTGAGCACCACGGGATTGAGTGCGTTTGGAGAGAGAACTTCGACAAGCTAAAGAGGCTTAATGGAGCAAAAGCATAATGAGAAATTCTTAACGATATCCACCTCCATCTTCACTCTAAATGACTTACGTATTAGTATATGCGTTCAGAGGTCTTCGGATGATCAGCGTCACATCATATGTAAGCTCAGGCTCCGTCAACAATCTTGTTCCATCAAGTCTCTAGCCTTCCATCGGCATAGTTTAGTTTCCATCTCCAGTATCATCTTTCATACTTCGTCTTATCTCCGGTCAGCAATTTTCAGCAAATCTCATTTTTTGCCACTAGCAACAACTCTTCAAGTTGGAAAAGCTATCGGAGTGGCTTCTACCACATGATCAAAACCGAAGCAGCCATCTTCTGCTTGAGTTCCTCTACTGAGTAATCCATGATTCGCGTCCACAAAAATAACACTGTAATGATTGAAGCGTTGGGACACTCTTTCTGGTCAAAAGTGTCTCCATCTCGCCTTTGTCCTTTTGCTGGAAGGTCTATATGTAAACTTCAAAAGTTCCGATGCGCTCTCGAAGGCTCACGTGTACAGATGACTCAAAGTTCTTCACGTGGAGCAGGGCTCGGCACAGGTGGCTTGCAAAGCAAGCTGGATATCGTTTTTGAGGGAAAAAGCAAAGGGGATTTCGTTTTTGCGGAAGAGCATAACGCTGTCTTTCGATCTGCTGCCGGCACGCTGCCGGCACGCCGCCAGCAAATAAACAAAGGGCTTGTTTACAGCGAAGTGAAGATGAAATGGCACCAAAATAGGTGTGTAGATAGGCAATGGGGAGTTGGGACTATGTATGAAAAATTATGAAAAAATTATGTGAGCTAAGGGCATGGCAAACTTTTTTCGGGGTTAGGTGGCTTTCAAGCCACCTGGATAGCCACATGAGGTGGCTTAGCGCAAACAAAGTCATATAATTCCTACTCTTCACATAATTTTTTTCGAATTGTTTACATAAAAGTAATCTACATCCAATATTCTACGAAACAGTTCTTGTACCTCCTCAAACCCTCTCCTCCCCGCCTAGTTATAGCCCTCCAAATTATCTGGATGGCAGCAGCAAAGGTGCTCCAAGCTCGCGGTGGTGCGCGGCGGACACAGCCTGCCGCCAACCCGGAGAATACAAACCATCACTTCCAGAACCACAGTTCTTATTCCCTATTTATTGTCGATTTTGGGTTCTATTTCATTCTTTTTGTTTTCATGTATGATTTGTTCGTTAGCGTGTCAAGGGGGATGTCGTACTTTTGTGACGAAGTCAAGGGGGACTTCGTTTTTTGCATTTTCAACTAGCCACCTCGTGCCGAGCCCTGACGTGGAGACACCTCGAAAACGACCTACTTCTACTTACGACGAAAACAGCCAGTAAATTCAGAGCCCTCTCGCTTTGGTAATTGAAAATGATACCACTTTGACAAGCAAGTTATCGATTGATTGCGAAAGGGTTTCATTCATTTTTAGTAAGACGTTTGCAAAATTTAAGAAGTTTGCTAGAAGCTGGGGAATCGTATCACCCATTACCAAAGGAGTAAAAGCCTCAGTACCTATCGCAGTGCCCCTCTACGTTCAGTGGTGTTTTGTCTTGTTGGCTATGGCTTGTCCTGATAAAGAGAAGCGCCGTTGCTAGATTTTTGAAAGTTGGTCAGTAATACAAAGACGCACAATCAAGAAGTGAGAGGGAAAGTCAGGGACTAAAACATGAATAGCGAATTGCTTACAAGACGTCATGCTGTTACACCCACATCTCAGCGGAGGCCTACAAGAAGAGGCTGCAGATGGGAAGAACACAAAATTGATGGAATGGTAAGGCTTATCGGGTGTTTAGTGCGGAATGTCTAGGGTAGGGGAACGAAGGCCGCCAGTTTGAGCCGTCTTTCGCGGCCAACTGGTCCTTTTGCAGTGTCGTGCATGTTATTCCAGGACCAGTTGTCCGCAAGTAGTGACAAAACAAGTAGTGACCTACAGATGTCTCCTGCTTGACTTTTGCTAGTCGAAAATGGTCAAAACCGACTTCCACTGGGCTAAATCTACAGTTTTGGCTGATGCGTTTCATCCAAACAGCAACCTTCATTTTTGTCCCGTTTCGAAATGCGTGAATTCTTTACTTGGCCACAAAAAAATTATAGCTAGCTCACTGCATAATCTGCATCGTATCAAGAATTGAATCCGTCACATTCAAGAAGAGCCAAGTCATGAAAATAGTTGCACTACTAATTTATAAATCTAACTACAAATGATCTTTGATGTCACAAGGGAAAGATCACCTTTATCAACTCAGCGAGCCTGAATTGAAGTTGCTCCTCGTGCCATGAGGAAAAAGGATACGTGTTTCGTGAGCAGAAGGAAGAAAAGCAGAAGAGTCTTATCAATCATCAGGTAGGATTCCCGGGGAAAAGAGAGGGTGCATTGGAGAGGGGAATATGGGTTGCGATCTTCTGTGCATGGCATGCATAAATGAAAGCCCTGTCTTTATGCCTATTGAAATAATCTACTGGCAAGTCTTCAAATCGCTTTTCGAGATGCATACGGCCTAATTGAAGCCGCCTTATTTTTCAAGTTTGCACGGTCAGAGGCTTCCGAGAAATTTGAGGCTCCAAAAATATGAATGACGCTACGGACCTCCATCAGGAAAATTTTCTCGCGATCCAAATCACAAAGGATGTGAGAGCACCTCTAAAGTGAAGATAAGGAAGCCAAGCAATTTGGGATTGTGACTCTTGAAAGGACTCGGTATATGTTCCCATTGCAAACTCCAGCAGAGGGTTCAATGACAAGGCTGGAATGGAAAAAATGTAATTTTTTTTTTGTTGCAGAGAGTTCAGCCTCGCTATCCTCCTCAGTTCATTCTCCTCCATAATTGTAATCCGAGATTTGATCGTGCAGCAGGAGAGATTGTTGTACGAGCCGATGAGTGTCATATACTCGGAAATTTATAATAGCATTATTTTCACTCACGAATGCTTGAGGAGAGAGCACCCATGCCACCAGTGCTCGCGGTGAAAGCACTTCGACACGGAAAGCAGTCGGCGATAAAATACGAGCGATGAGAGCATTTGGTGCTAGTATGGACACGATGAACGCTCGTGGCGAGAGAGTTTCTTGCTGAAGTAAAGAACGTTTGTTTGTGAAGGCCTCAGTTGCTGGCATGAAAACTTACTATTAGAGCCGACGGGAACAATACTTCTACTATGAAAGCTCGCGGTGACAATGTAACAATATCTAAGGATGCACCGCCGAGCACGTCTGTAGCAAATGCTACAGGAGCTAAGGTTTCGAAGTTTATGGGACCTTCTGCTTGTCGTCGAACACGTGCTGAACATAGCCTTGTTAAAGGTTGCTATGCTTGTTCGAGGATTACCTGTTCCCCAGCTTGGTGCTCGAGGTTTTTCCAATTCCGCTAGTGCTCGAATTTCCTTTTCTAGTCTTGCCTGTTTCTCTTGTTTCGTCATTCTGCCGAGTTTGGTAGTATTCATTCCGTAGCGAAGCTGGTCTGAAAATTTTTGAACTCGCAAACTTGTAGACAAGAAATAATCATATGTGTGCCGGAAAGCAGTGGTGGTATATGGATATTCATATGAGTCCGTGCAGAGGGGAGGCTGTTGATCTCCAAAAAATTTACTGGGATCTTTCGGAAATTTTGCGCATTATAAGTATGGCCGGACCCCGGAATCCTTTTTATAAAATTTGTTTTTTTTTGAGTTTCAAGAATTTCTTTTGAACATTCACAAGTAGAAAGTCCCTTGACAGATTTGCAGATTTTTAGATAATTTTCGGATCTCGCGACCCATTTTCAGGGGCATCTAGCAAAGTTCAAAAAATTCTCAAGCATGCGAGCGAAAACCCTTTTGAATGAAATGAAGATCATTCTTACCTCGGCATATTTACCCCTTTAGCAGGAAAGTCACATATAAAAGCAAAGCCAGCAAGTTTTACTCCAGAAATGAAATGCGCGGACTTTTCATGACTCAAAAGCTGGCTAAAATATAGACGGAGCTAGGTAAAATACCTTCTGGCTTGTATATCAAGTTCAGTTGCTTTTCGTCCAAGAAAGCAAATCCTTTTTCGTCGAAATCTCTCTTTTGTTCTTCTGTGAAGCTGGCTCTTGAGCTGTAATTGGGAACTTTCAATTGACATACTGTATGAAACTTTACTGCGGACGCCTGTGTAGGTCAAACTAGATCATCTATAAAGGAACAAAGTTCAAACATTGAGCCAAAGAAGAATGACATATCCCGATTCATTTGACCATCAATTTTTGCACAATAACATACCGTCTCCATCGCTCATCGTGTTCCATTAGCTTTTGTACTATAGGATACTTGACGTTCTTTATTTCATCCATTTCTGGTTCTAATTTGGCGAATATCTCCTAAACTTTTCTAACTGGTCTAAGCAAAAAAATTTGAATGAAGGTTACTCACCTTAAGGGCTTTTCCTGCACCACTTATGTCAATTATCATCTCCAGCAGATCGTCTTGCTCTTTCTTACTAATTGCTGCTAGCTGTTATAACAATCATGACATTTTCAAGCTGTGCATTCTTTTCTAGTTGAGAAACCTTGAAAAGTTCCGGCACGGATAGAATTCCTTCCTTCTGGAAGCTAAACAACGTTGGCGACATGAACTTTTGGTGATTTGGGATAGATGCTTCGGGAAGCAGAGAAAGCAGGCGTGGTGAAAACAACGATAGCTTGTCAGATGAACCTTGGTTCTGAAACTTCCCTACATAACTTGTATAATGGAAGATTCTCCAGCTTTTATTTTCTCATTCTTTCGTGTTGGCACTGTCTATCATAATTTGAAGTCCGTTGTGGTCCTATCACAAGAACGATTCACATTCTATGGAGATTGAAAGGAGAAATTCGAATTTGAACGCAATTATTTATACTCTGCGATTTTCAAGTTGGATGATAAAAATTGCAAATGATAGTGACGTTTAATTTGTGTAAGGTAAGGGCGCTTCTGTTCCTCCGTTGCCCTTTCATATAAGTATGAAGTTTTTTATAAGGCACAATCCTCGGACAAATTGACCCCATTGAACTAATTTTTTAGTTTTGAAATTTTCCCGCTGACAAGCGTGCTTTTTCCCACGGGGCCAAATTCGTATCAATCTGTTTGAGAAATTGTCGAATTTATATGATAAGGTTGGTGCGGCATAGTTTCTGAATTGAAAAGAATTCTTAGTGTTTATTAAGAATTCATAGTGTCTTACGGAGAACGCATTGATTGTTTCCACAACTTCATCCATCACTGATGCTGCCTGTTTCTCAACTGTCGGCGCTTTGCTATCAATGCCGAGTTTGAAGTGTTTGAAAAACCTAAAAATTGGCCTTCAGATTTTGTAGAGCCCTGTACCTCCATCTGACTTACATTTTATTCCGTTCATTTAGATTATCGAAAAAGTCGTTACATTGTTTTACTCTGCGAAAATGATCCCGAATAATGAGCAATTTTTCGATGTGTGAGCTGGGCTCTGAATCGACGGAAACATTTTACATCACTGACTTAGACAATGCAGTTCTTACGCGGCTGTTTCGCCTTGTGCTTTTGTGGGATACTTGTTGTTGTTTCTGCATCGGATCCTGAACTACTTGGCTGATAATTTATATAGGGTGCTCCAAAAAATGTGCAAACGGGGTCATTAATAACTCTCTTGCTTCAGCGTCTTTCGCCGATTTTAGGTGTCATTCTGTGGAGCTGGTTTCAACTTGAATTTGAATAGTGCAAACTACTGATTGCTTTTCATTATTGTAGGATTATGGGAGAAAATCTGAAGGAATTTTGAAGCCATAAACAGTACATTTTGCCTCAGAAGAAGTAAAAAAAACTAAACCAATAAAAACTCCTCTATTAGTCTAAGTGGAGTCGCTATCTTTGAATACTCAACTTGCACTCTATTTTATGGATATCTTTTTGGTCTTTTTTCTGAGACAAAATATAGCAATTTTTATCCTTTTGAAAAGTTCCTACTATACGAATTATTCTATTCGTATTCATTTGCCGCGTTCAAAGAACAGTGGCCTAGCGCGGCCGATCAGCTGTGTTTCCCACAGCTTATGTTTATGCATTTGTTATCAGTTCGCTTATCAGTAGATTCCTAGGCTTTTGTTTATGTTTCATTGTATATATAAGCTGGGCATCATGTTAGCCATTTAGTTGTCTGAGTTTTATAGCACGCTTTTCTACTAACGCACAGAACAATCACAGGGTCACAGAATATCACAGTAACAAAACATTGATAGAATGTTAGCTTTGGTTTAACCCTAAGTAGTCATATTATTAACATTATATTAGCATATTATTCATTATTCGTAGTCGCATATGTAGTATCAGTAGTATTATAATAAAGGTTTAATTACCCAAGTTTGAGGTACACGCTGTGCACAAAAGTCCCGCGTGGCACTCAATCAATACCCACACCCAGCACAAAAGTGCAATCACCTACCGTAATCTACAAAGGTGAAGAAGTTTGGTGATTTGCAGCATTTTGTCAATCCAATTATAAAGGTAGCTCTAAGAACAGTACCAAAATTTGGCAAAAGACCTTCGTAGTAATTTGTAAAAGGAGAGATGTTGATGATCAAAAACTGCGTACACCAGGCCCAGCACGAGGTGGCATATTTGCGTGTCACCTTGCGCAGGAGCCATGCTAGTCTTCTCTGTATTGTTCTAATTCTGATATATGTTCAGAAATGAACAAATACTAAAGTACTGGCATATGAGAAATTCAAAAACGAAGTCTCCCTTGATATTGCAAATTGATGAGATACCTTTTGCAATGTTTGTAAAGGCTCCTCTAATAATCTGCAACAAAAAATGGATTGAAGTGAGGAAAAGACAAGAGCAAGTCAAAATTTAGAAAACGAAATGCAAAAAAAGGCTTTTTAATGACATCAAAAGCCGTAAATAAGCATAGGAGACGAAACTTGGGTAAAGGTGAGTACTCGTAGGTAGAGCTTGATTTAAAGAACTGATTTATTTAAAAGCATCTGGAAAGTTATATGAGGAAGGGGGAGAATTCTGAGGATTCATAACTTTACCTGGATCCGCGCAACCTAAGGTGCTCCCCGATTGCGCGGGAGCAACCTTAAATCGAAAAACCTTACAACTCCTATTTCACATAATTTTTTCATAAATTTCCATACTTTTCTTTTGATCATCGCCGTGGGTGTACACACCCAACTTGATGACTCAATGTTGCTTACTCGTTGTAAACAAGATTGTTTATATTTTTGTTCTTAGAGATTGTGTTTTGACACGTTGAAACCGTGTGCACACAGGTTTATGCACTAGTCGTATTTGTAACATGCCAATTTATACCTGTAACTGGTATAATCACGTTAGACCTTGAAATTCGAGCTTTCTAAGAGTGAGAATTATGGGGTGTAGAATGATTCGCACGACCGTAATGCTTTCCACACAGGACCACCGCCGCGCGCGACACACCCTGCGGCGGCTTTTGCCTAAGCAAAACAGGGGGAGGAAAGGTTTGCGGCGTGCACTACATGTTAAGACACGTCTAAATCAGGGAGACTCTGGAGACCGCCCGTGCGAAAAGACCGTCTCCCAGAACTATGCTCTAATTTTTAGTCAGGTTTTTGAGTGGAAATTTACGGGTTCTTCTTTGCTTTCCCCTCAAAAAACGACATCCAGCGTGTGAAAGCGCCGCCTCTGCTGAGCTTTGGCGTACATGCTTTTGGGACATCCTGTATATGGCAGGAGCAGTAAACCAGCGATTCTTCTTCTTCTTACGGCAAAGAACTTTCGAAGTTTTCGGTAGAATAATTTCTTACCTTGTAAAACTTCTGCAAATATATTTTCAATATCAGCTGCCCGTAAAGATAAGTTGGGTGAGGATAATCCGAGTCTTGTCTTCTCAACATCTTTATCAGCAGCACTTCTCTTCAATCGTTTTCGCCAACTTCGCGATTCCAAATGTGCCCTTTTCCTGTTTCTATGTAAAAACCCAGATGCCAAAGCTTTTTTCAATTTGACAACCAGACTGTTTGTGTCTTTTCGCTCCTTGGACGGATGCAAGCGCAAAGTGCGGGATGACGATGACGAAGTAGACAATAAAAAGCGACCCTTCTTCCGTTTGATCTTGAAACCAGTTTTGTTTCTTCGTTTTTTCGACTTGTATTCACCCAAAATCCGGGGTGTTTTGAACACTTTTGCTTTCCGCCTGATGGGTAGATAGGGCGCTTGCTCCCATTTTCCAAAAGAGCTTTCTTCTTTGGGAGTTGTGGACGCTGTAGGAGAAGTTGTTATTGTACTTGATGGCGCACCAGACGTTGAAGTACTGCTCATCAAATCCACTTGGCCTTTCAGAGAATCTCGTGTATTGAACACTCTGACAGAACATTTGGCAAGACCAACAATGCTCTTCGCGTCTTTCATGCAAATATCATAGACGACCTTTTCGACATGCGGAAGGTCCGTAAGCATAGACTTCGTGTATGCCTGAAACAACATTAAGACAGCTACTTTCAGTAATATTTGGACTCTACCTGACTGAATCCGTACCTGGATGACTCCGCGGATTGTGCCAGTATGCCAGAATCTACGCAGTTTTGCGGTGTCCACCTCGTAAGTTTTGCGTTCATATTTTTGCTTTTGTGAAGTCGGTGGCTGTTGAGGAATGTGTGCTGAGATCAGGCTAGCTGTAATGTTGTTCATTTAGTTTTTGTTATAACACAGCCTAATCATGTTCCTTTATAAGCTTTTGCCAGCCGCAAGCATCTTAAAGCCTACTTCCCCCATGAAGTTTTGCTTGATTGGTTGCTTCTTCCATAGCAGGCGGCCTTGTAGTGGCAAAAATAATCGTTTTTGATACCTATCTCATTTAAACTTCGAAAATATCCAAAGTGCTTCAAAAAAGTTTGAGAAGTGTGAGAATGGTATGCGCACATGATGCTGTTATTCCGAGATTTGCTCGGTAGTGATACAAATTGTGAATTTTTTGCAAATTTGAAAAATCTCGTTTTCGGCTTGTCAAGAGCCCAAACTAACCGGAAAACAAAAAATACGCTCGAAATCGGCAGAACAGATAACTACAAACCACCAGTTCTTGATTTTCGGTTCGAAGGTTGGAAGGCACATATTTTTTAACGAGGAAAGAAGCTGACCTCGGAAAATTTTTGCTGGAATGCAAAAAGTCAAGATTGCGGGGGAAACAGTTTCGATTAAAGCAGCAACATTTGAGATATTCACGTACAAATGGCAAAACATCCTTCTGTGAAAAGTAAGACATTTCTGGCTTTTTTTTTTTCAAAAAATGACAAACCCACAATTTATGAATTCTGCGTAATCCACAACTAGAACTCGAACATTGTAATTGACTAACAGACTGAGGAAAAAAGAAGAAAAATTTATTGGCGAAGCTTGCAGCCGTTAAAAGTGCAGATACGCAAGCTTGTCACCATGGATCAACTATTAGGCGCCAAGCTTCTTGTTGTCGACTCACCCATAACAATCAATAGAAGAATACGTCTGCATTCGCTGATTCCCGAAAAATCAGACTCAGAAGTGAAGGGTCTCTCAATATTTTCCAAGTGTTTTGAAGTTGAGGCAGGATAAAAGCTTGTCGAAAGAGTATCTTATATGTGAGGAATGATCGTAATGTGGAGAAATGGATACGCCAGCCATTTTCGCGCCTTGTTCTTTTTGATTGCTACTGCATTCAATGCGTATACCGGTAGTTCTCGGAGGCGGCGCCTAAAAGGGATTATCCCTTTCTTTGTCCCAACGTAGCTCCTGCAATTTTCGCAAACGAAGTTTCTTTTGACTTTGCAACACTATCATGCCCTGGCGCGCGTAAGGCCTAACAATGAGGCCTAAGGCATACCTCGCGCGATTCCGGTCCAGGGCCCGGCACGAGTCGGTTTCTAGGGTTCCTGAAAACGAAGTCTCCCCTGACTTTCGGAAGCTTTACGAAGTCCCCTTTGACCTAGCTGCTTAGGAGAAGATGAAAACAAGAATGATTTACAAGTCTGAAAGAAAAGACGTGAGATAAGAGTGAAAATCCAGTGAATTAAAGCTGATTACTACGCATGCACGAGACTTTGGCATTAGAGCGCGAAATTCAACAAAGCGAGAATAAATGAAGGCAAAAAACAAAGGAAAAGCAATGATATGAAAATGTCTTTATGCTCAGTGATAGATTTTTGACCGGGGAATCCGTCCATGCTGAAAAAATCCGAAACTTATGTGAATTGACGAAAATATATGCTCCAGACGATCTCAGATCGTCTGGTGGCCGTCTGGAGACGATCTAATTTTGGAAAAGGTATTACTTCACATAAGTTTTCAAATCTTTCTACATAAATCTTTCGCAAATAATTTTCTATACATATAGTCCAATTTTGGTGTCATATGATTCTGTGTACGCTGTAAACAAGCAATTTTTTCATTTTAGCCTTGCTTTCAAATCGCGCGCACTTTTTGCCACACACGGTAGAGCATGTCAATCGTGTGATAACCTGTCCGGAAAGCTTGTGTTCGACCAAATGGCGCTTATTCTTGGTGCTCGGTTCCTACTAGTCAAAAACGATAACCCCTTTGCTGTTTGCTTCAAAAACGAAGTCCAGCCTGCTTCCAGACGATCTGTGCCGGGCCCTGTTCCGGTCGCTGCGCGATTTGACCAAAGACAACTCTTCGTAACTCGTCGTTATGCGCTGTCTTTGGTCAGAACTTGCTCCATTTGCAACCAGTCGCTAATTTTCGGTGACGAGCGATCGCCAATCGCCAAACAAGTTACCACATGTCAAATCGATACGTATCAAACGTGTGGTCGCCGATATTGGCGATAGCCAGTCGCCAGTGTTGGCGACTACACATTAAATGTGCATCGATTGGACTGTGGTAACTTGTTAGCAATCGATACGCATAAAAAACACAGTCGCAGTATTAACGAGTGGCGATCGCCCGCCGTAGCGACTGGCGATCGCCTGTCGCCATGCTTACTCCTCGAGGAGTATAGCGCCTGCCTAAGGCTTACCTTGCGCGATTTCGGTCGCTGCGCGATTTGGCACAACAGCGACTCTTCGTAATTCGCCTTTAATGCGCTGCCTTTGGTCAGAACTTGCTCTGTGTGCAACAAGTTACACAAGCTACCCAAATATGCGTCCGAGATGTGCGATGATAGCCGAATCGCGTGAGGTATGCCTTAGATCCAAAGAAAAGTAGAAAGAAAAACAGCACAGAGCACCTCTAAAACACTGAAAAGAAGCAAAGATGTTCGTTTAGTTTGGATTGACGGCATGCTGTGTTCAGCGCGCACCACCGCCGCTTGGGGCAGCAATGCTGCCACTTTCAAATTCTGGGGCTTCTAGGCGGAGAGCAAAGAATTAGTTTGTAGGTTAGGATATAGTTCAAAAGTGTATTAAAAGTGCAAAAAACTTATCGAAGAAAGGAAATTTATTTCTTTCTTAAGCCCTTTCAGTTGGCTCTCCAGGTGGTTTCCATACTACATATCTACGAAAAACGTCTTCCACGTCCTCATTTCAGATGACTTTTTCATATCTCATACGAAACTAAACTTTCCATTGAAGTTCACTAGAATTGCTGCCATATCATTTTTTTATCTTCATTACGAACAAGCCTTTGTTTTATCTCGGTGCACATTTTTGGATTCCCACGCTTGCAGGAGAACATATTGGAGCAGAAAAATATTGGTATAGGAGAAAATGGATTTCGGGCTGTGATGCATAATGAAATTTGCCTGAAATTAAGCCGGAGGTAGTCGTTTTACAACATGATACTAAGGGCCGCATGCATTAACATCCCCGCCGGGGAGGGGATGCAGCTTGAAAGCTTCTTATTCTAAGCTCCAGATATTTGAATTTCACTTTGTGTACCTGTCCAAAGTATTCCTGCAATTCTTCACTATGAACATATTGAACAGCAGCGAGAAGATGTACAAGCCGCATTTTCCAACTTTTATATGATCCCTGATGATCCCCGGCGCTTTTCTTCAAAGTCAATTTTCTTTCTCCAAAGTTAACGAAAAAACTTCTAAAGTTGTGCAGATTATCTTACCCAACCGTGCTTAGCATGTTGCTGAGAACAAGTGACGGATAGGAGTCATGAAATTTGCCTTGAACCACAAGTCGAAAGTTGGGGTTTAAAGAAAAATTCAATCTCTTGAAAACTCAATTGTTCTTATCAGCAAATGCTCAGCAGTGTTGGGTTAGTTATCACTACAACTCTGGTAGGTTGTCGTTGATTTTAAAGAAGGAAAAATGACTTTTGAAGAGAAGCGCCGGGGATCATCAGGGATCATACAAAAGGGTAAATGCGGCTTGTACAGCTTCTTGCTGCTGTTTAATGTGTTCAGAAGGATGGTAGGAATACTTGATATAAATCCAGATATCTAAAGCTTCAGAATACGAACCTTTCTTTTGAGCTGCGATGTTATAGTTCTTATATTCTGATACATGAGTAGAATGCATGGCAGTATATTGCCATACAAGCTGAGAATTTCGCTGTTTCGTGTAATCCCTTGAGGGATCCCAGCGGATCGTATTGCGTAGCACGCATGTGGATCAGGGATGTGTTGTAGTCTTTCGGCGTAACTTTGCTTTACACGATTCCAATGACGACGCCCTGCGTGCCACGTTCGAGCTCCTCTCTGAACATCAAGCTTCGCTGACTACGGATTAAGCATCAGAGGAATCATGTTGCTACTAAGGGAGTGTCTACAGTGTTCGGTCTTTCGGTGGTGCAGGCAGTGTTACAAGCAGATCAGAGGTGTTGCAATGGGACAACGTTTAGCGCGAACTTTGGCCATTGTCTTTATGTCCAAGGTAGAAGCACCTGTTCTCGCGCGCAAACCGCTACTGTACTGCCGTTAGGTGGACGATTGCTGTGTTATATACCCTACCCAGGTCGAGCTTGACACTTATTTTATGATTCTCAATCAGCAGTCCCTCCATATCAAGATGACCCGGGAGAAGCCCAAGGATGATTGATTATCTTTCTTGAACGTTCAGATGCAGCTGTCAGGTGGAAACTCCAAGACACGATGGTACTGTAAACCGAGTAGTGACAGCTGTGAGGGTTTCATTCGATAGGCAACAAAGGGTTTACTCACTGCATTTGGCTGACCGTGTAGCTAGATCTAATGGGTACAAGCCAGAAAACACTCTTCTGTCAAACACCGGTTAGCCGATGTTAAGACTCCAGAGACCGAGGTAAATTTCCGTTCGCTTACCTATATTTCGGAGGAATTCAGCAAGGCAGTAAGGAGGCTAGTACTAAGTGTATAGTACTAGTATTAAGTGGATCTACAAGATTGGGTAGGAGTCGTGGACGTACCTCCACCTAACCTTAGGCGTCAACCCGTACGTAATCGCGCTTATGATAGGCTGTGTATGACCCTAGGGTGTTTAATATGCCCGTTCGGCAAGGAGGGAGACTGCATGGTGTCGGGGGTAGTGTACCTTATCACTTGCTCACTTGCCAGCGGAGGCCCCAGGATTTCGGCTCGGGGAGGGGACAAAGAATTTTTTCTTCCGAAAATTTTTTTAGGATGTTTCCCAAAATTTTTCCGGGCCCCTGACCCCAAAATTTTAGAAAAAGGGGTTTTTTACAGGGCTAACTTGAATTTTTAAAAATTGGTAAAATATTTCAATTATTTACAAGTAAAAACAAGTCCTC